GGGGGAAGCGAGGCGACGCCGGGGCTCGTGGGAAGAGCGCGGTGCTGGGAATAGCAATGGCTTTAGCGATTCCCGGTGCCGTGCTTTCCCCCAAAAGCATCCCCGCTGCTTCGCTTCAGCCATTCCCAGCACTGCGCAAGGTTGCGGGCACGCTGCTGGGGAGAGCGCGGTAGCAGGAATTGCTAAAGCAGGATTGCGGGCATGGTTTTGGGGAGAACACGGTGCTGGCGCTCACCAAAGCAAGGTGGTGCCTGGGCTTTTGGGGAGAGCGCAGTGCTGGGAATTGCTAAAGCAAAGTTGTGGGCATGGTCCTGGGGAGAGCACGGTACCAGGAATTGCTAAAGGAAGAGTGCAGGCATGGTTTTGGGAAGAGTGTGGTGCTGGTGGTCATCAAAGCAAGGTGGTGCCTGGGCTCTTGGGGAGAGCGTGGCACTGGGAAGTGATGAAGGCAAGTTGTGGGCATGCTTTTGGGGAGAGCGCAGTGCTGGGAATTGCTAAAGGAAGATTGCGGGCATGGTTTTGGGGAGAGCGCGGTGCTGGCATTCAGCAAAGCAAGGTGGTGCCTGGGCTCTTGGGGAGAGCACGGCACTGGAAAGAGCTAAAGCATGGTTGTGGGCATGCTTTTGGGGAGAGCATGGTGCTGGGAATTGCTAAAGCAAGGTTGTGGGCATGGTTTTGGGGAGAGCGCGGTGCTGGCATTCACCAAAGCAGGGTGGTGCCTGGGCTCTTGGGGAGAGCGCGGCACTGGGAAGTGATGAAGGCAAGTTGTGGGCATGCTGTTGGGGAGAGCGCGGTGCTGGGAATTGCTAAAAGTGAAGTAGTGGGCATGCTTTTGGGGAGAGCACGGCACCAGGAATGGCTAAAGTAAGACTGTGGGCATGTTTTTGGGGAGAGCGCAGTGCTGGCGTTCACCAATGCAAGGTGGTGCTTGTGCTTTTGGAGAGAGCACAGGACTGGGAATTGATGTAGGCAAGTTGTGGGCATGGTCCTGGGGAGAGCGTGGTGCTGGCACTCACCAAAGCAAGGTGATGCCTGTGCTCTGGGGGAGAGCGCGGCGCCAGGAATGGCCGGAGCAAAGTTGTGACCATGCTTTTGGGGAGAGCGTGGTGACCCTGCTCTTGGAAACCCCCTCGGGCGAGAGGGGCACTCGAAGGCTGTGGGCTGGGGCCGAGGGCAGCAGCTCCGGGGGCTGCCTGGGACCGGCTGTGGTGCACCCAGCGCGACGGGAGCAGCAAACTCGAGAGGCGGCTGCGAGGAGAACACCTTTATCCCCGTCCCTGCCGCTTCCCGGTGTGGGAGAGCAGCTCGAAGATTTGCAGGTCTGGTTGACTAACTTGAAAAATCCAGCCCCGTCTTCTGTCCCTCGTACTACGAAAGCACTTGGCTGAGTAACGGGGCTGTCTCTGCCTGCTCCCCGCTATTCCTGGAGGTGCTGGATGTGGCCTCTTCTCACCAGAGTCACCTCCAAAGGAAGAGGGGTCCGTGCTGTTTCAGGCTGGGCTTTGGGAAATGGCTGGAGTCTCCTTAGAGAAGGGGCTTAGAGGGAAAAATAACCTAAGCTGGCTGGCGGGGATGCTCAGGCGCTGCTTTGGTTTAAGTGACATGGATGGAGAGAGAAAGGCAGGGCTGCAGCGAGAGGCTTTGGCTGGGAAAGCGCAGGCGGAAAGATGACGGAAAGCGATCCGTCGGGAAGTAGAGGTGATAGGGAATATATTGGAGGGGTGAAAAAATCATAGGGAAATCCTGTCACTGGCAAGGGAAGGGAAAAACATCAAGAGCTCCAGGTTGAATCCTATAGAAACCCAAAAAGCTGCCAAAGGGCAGCTGCTTTCCTAATTTTTTCCCTTTTTTTATTCCCCCCCCTTATTTTTCCACCCCCCAGCCCCATAAGGGAAAGCAGGAGCTCGAAGCTGAGCTCAGCAAGCCTCGGCCGTTCCTCCGGGCGCGTGACGGCCGTGACAGATGGCCCTTGCGATGGCAGGCGCGGAGCTGCAAGGTCCTTCCCCAGCGCCTGGGAACCGGCTGGGAGCTGCGACCCGGAGCCCTGATGGGCTTGGGCTTCTCCCCTGTGTAGCAGGTCCGGAGCTGCTGTTCTCTCCTCACATCTGCCTTTGCCTGGGGCAGGCTCCTGTCCTTCAAAATTGATTTTTCCAGACATTTCTTCCCCCCCTTGGCCCATCATTAATAAATCTTGAGCTTCAGAGCAGGCAAAATCTTTGGAGCGGGCAGGCAAAGTCATCTGCTTGCGGCCGGTGCGTGCGCTCAGATCCACGGTGCTGTTTCTCACGGGCGATTTCACCTCTTTCTTGACCAGATTGCTTTAAAGATTATCTATTTTTTCTGTTGGTTGTTGTTTAACATGGTTAAAATTGATGGGTGCATCCCCCCGCAATGATTCTGCATCGTTAGGACCGGCTGAATTATTAACCAGTGTCTGAGCTGCCTGTCTTGGCTTATTTACCTTTATATCTCTTGGGCAGGGAACTGGCAGGTCACATCAGACTTGGTAAATGGTGCTATAAATTTATAGCACTATCGATAGGTTCATTAACAGCCCTGAGGCATCAGGTGCATCCCTTCGGAGGAGGACGAGGGAATTCCAGGTAGCTGGTGGCAGAGGTGATGGTGGCAGAGATGCTCCTTCGCAGGGAAGAGAAAGGGGGGCTCCTTGCGAGGCGAAGTCCAAAATCATGGAGGCAGAGATGCTGTTTGGCATGTTAATAATAAAGAAATAAAAATGCTGATATCGGAAAGGTCCCTTGCGTGCGGAGTGGCACCCAGCCTTTAAGATGAGCGGAGACAACCCTGAATTTAAGGGGTCACCAACAAGCCAGGGCAACAATTTAGCACTCGAAGCCAATGGTCAATGGCACTTGAAAGCCTCACGGGGTGGTTTTATGGGGAATTTGGTGGGAAAAGCCTTGTGTGACGCTGCGGGGGCTCTCAAACCAGCAAAGGGTTGGTTTCACAGGGGTGGGGTTGGCTGAGGTTCGCCTGGCGGGTGATGAGCCGGCCCTGCCGACGGGATGCTCTCTCCCTTCCCAGCTGGATGCTGTGCCCCAGCAGAGCATCCTCCTCGCTCGGCACCGCGTGAAAATGAACCTGATTTCAGAGAGCCTCTCGGTAGCTCCGAGCTTACTGACATGCAAGAAAAGCAACACAGGTGAATTAAGTCATTACAAGATACATTTTATATGAACCGATTGTGCCGAAAACAACTTGTGTTTAAGAAATGAAGCAGTTAATGTTGCTGAGTAACAACGCACACAGCTTTTTTTTATGAACAATGTGAATAATTCAAGCTGTCCAAGGCTGTAGAATAGAAAACCACAGGTTTTCTTATTGATCTCGGGCCCGTTCCCGCCGTCCGTAACATGCATCTGCCTTTTGCACCGTGGGCCAGCCCAGCTCCCAGCGCGTGAGTTGTCGCATTGACTGCAACAGGGTTTTTTGGGGAGCGTACGCCCAAAATCACTGCAGGTCCAGTGCTGCTGGTGGGTTTGGGTTGGGTGGTTTTTTCCCAGCAGAGCCACCCTGCTTGCATTTTATTTTTATCTTTATTTTGTCTTTATTTTATCTTCATTTTATATTTATTTTTATTTTTACTTTATTTTACTTTATTTATTTTGAAGGGCAAATACTGTGATAGTGGAAATTATTCTGCACTGGAAGCTGTCGGAGTCACGGGGAGGAGGAACAGCAGTGTGGGCAAAGGATGCCAAGGGGGATTGCTTGCTCCCCAGCACCCCAATTTTGAGCTTCGCTTCGCAGCATCCTCTCTCCTCTGGGTACCATCCCACCCTTCCCTCCCTTGTAATCGGATCTGGGAACAGCGGACCCAGAAATGGCTGGGCTTGTACCTTGGATGTTTTAGGGGAAAAAAAAAAAAAATTTGTTGTTGCAAATGCGCTGAGTATAGATTCTGCCTTGCCCTCTTATCTCCAGGTTGGTTATTGAAAGACTTGATTAACCACAGAAGCCATCAGGAGAGAAAATTTCCAGCGTGGTGGTTTTTTTTCTTTTCTCCTGTGCTCCAGTTAATGACAGGAATTGCATCGCATTTCCAACACGGGCGATAGTTAAATATCTGGTGATTACTGCCTTCCCCAAGCGCCTGCCGCAGCAGTCAAGCAAATGCCGGCCTTTCCAGAGGGCTCTGTCTCCTTCTTCCCAGAGGAAAAGTTGGCAGAGTGGGAAGATGCTTCTACCAGGGGACCCCCACAGCCCCCAGGGCTGCACCAGTGCCCACCAGTGCCCCCCAGTGCAACCCAGCTGCTGCAGCGCTGCTTCCTCTCATCCACCCCAGCTAAAACACCCAGTTGAAACATAAATATACATATATATGCATGTGAAATTAAGAGCAAAATTGAGAATGCAGCCCAGCTAAAATGGGATCCTCTGTATTATGAAATTGCACCAGGCTTTTCCTTCCAGCTGCCCACTCTGTCACTGTCATGGTTTAACCCCAGCGTGGCCTTACCCATGAGCCACAATGCCTTCAGAGACAGACCTGCTCCAGCGTGGCCTCACCCACAGCCACAGTCCCTTCAGGAGTAAACCTGCTCCAACATGGCCTTGCCCATGGCTGCAGTCCCTCCAGGGGTGTACCTGCTCTGTCGTGGGCTTATCCATGGCCACATGCGGTGCCCCAGCATGCCCTCATGCGCAGCCAGTGATGCTTCAAGGTGTGCCTGCTGCAGCATGGACTTATCCACAGCCACGGATGCTTCGAGATGTACCTTCTCCAGCGTGGACTTATCCTTGGGCCACAATCCCTTCAGAGGTACCCGCTGTGGCACAGACATAGCCACGGCCACAGACGCTTCGAGATGTACCTGCTCTGGCATGGGCTTATCGATGG